CCCGGGCACTGAATACCCAACCGGATGGGTATTACAGCACGCCAATATCACGCGCCGACTGATCTACAATACACGCCAATTGCATCATGAAATGGGGCGAAAAGTATCCAAACCAAGGTATATAAAAACACTAGGTAACACCGAAAAATTCCTTCAACATGAAGGCAACGGGTTCAGGTCTTGACAACTAGTGCTAGCATGATTTGCAACAGGGGCGGATCCAGCATTTTGCCAAGGGAGGGGCTATTCCGAATCGGGGGCCCCCCATCGATGGGGGCCCTACCTACCCCCAAAAGTTTAAGCCTGGATTTCGTCCACTTTATTTTTAGGGGCCCCCTATCATGCTTTTTTTGCAAAAAAAAAAAGAAAATGAGAAAGTCGCCCGGGGGGGGGGGGCGCTATAGTCCCTATCGCCCCCCTGGATCCGCCCCTGCTAGGAGGCCTTGTATGTGAACTAGGAAGCCCTCTGTGATAGCTAGGAGGCCCTCTGTGCAGATGCGAGCGCAGGCCCTCAGTACAGACTTGGAGACCCTTTGTGTGGATGCGAGTGGAGGCCCTCTGTGGAGATTAAGAGGTCCTGTGTTGGCGAATAGGATATCTGTGCAGGCTTGGAGTCCCTCTGTGCAGGATAGGAGACCTTCTGTGTGAGTTAGGAGGCCCTCTGTGTTGGCTAGGAGGCCCTTTGTTCGGATGCGAGTGGAGGCCTCTGTGTAGGCTAAGAGATTTTGTGTTTGTTAGGACATCTGTGCAGGCTTGGAGGCCCTCTGTGCAGGTTAGGAGGCCCTGTAAAAGTGGTCATCTCTGTGAGTATAAGAGACCTCCAAGTTATGAAAAGCTTTACCAATCTTCTAACAAAGAAGTCTTCTCAGCTAGTCTTCTAAGAAATAACTAAGTGGGTAGGTTAAAAAAAACTCATCGGATTTCGGCCACTTTATTTTCAGGAGGCCCCCTTTTCAGCTTTTTAACTTTTTATTTTATTTTTGAAAAAAATCGGCCAAGGGGGGGGCCATGGCCCCCATGGCCCCCCCCTTGTATCCGCGCCTGATTTGCAAGATACTTGCTACGTAACTACTTTACAGATTTTCCTAATACTTTGCTATTACTTATGTTTCGCGATTTAATAAAGACATATTTTTAGTTATCCTCATTAAAATTCGTTCTTGCCAAGAAATTTGTAATTTCACGGTATGACATCATGCCTTCAGGAAGCCTCGGATATCTCAGTATCTAGGCAGTGAACCTACTTAATTCTGATGTTTTTAGAAATGAAATTGATTTTTGCATTCTCTTGATATGAACTTTTTGGAAAACAACAGAAAAACATTAAATTATCGCTTTTCAAAGTGCCATTTTGTGCTTGATAAGAAGTGATGGCCCTTAGACAGAGCGTTCCTATAAAAAATCTAGAGTGAGCTGGCCTCTATAAAAATTAAAATTAGCACCAGTATTTAATTGTCTGTTAGATGTTAATTTTCATTAAGCTTAAGGTTCTACGGAAAAAGGCGAAATTCGCCCCTAAAGGCTTCAATGTCTGAATGAAAAAAGGCACTATGGTAAAGAGGTAGTTGAAAAATGGGAGGGAGCTGGCCTCTACAAGTTGTTGATTGAGATAGATTAGCGTATTGACTTTCGATTGATATACCTCATTAAGCATATGGTTTTACGGAAAATGGCTAAATTTGTCGAAAACTATCTCGTTTTTGTTATAAACCGTATATTAGAAATGGCGACGTGCGCCACTTCCGTCGCCGACGCCATTTGGACGCCATGTTGCCCGAGATTTGAGCGCTTGTACGCCTTGGCTTCTAAATTTCAAGATGAATATTGACGGCAGAAGACGGCGTTGTGCATATGGGGGGCACGCACTGATTTCAAGTGAGTCGGAAGTGCCAAAATTGAACAAGATTGGTTCCAAGTACGTTTCGAAGTCCGTCATTCAGGCCCTGGGAATGGGTGACCCTGGCAAGCTTGCTGGACGATACCTGTGTCATAAGTGTATTTCCTATGGCAGGTCGCAGATGAAAATTGTTCAGGTGAGATTACTTGACTGATGTGTTGGCTCATAGCTGGGCTCTCCATTGATGTTTGCAGTGTGAATTTACTCTTGTGCTGTGCAGATTCACAGGAATTTGTATCAGTCTGGGAGGTTTGGTCAATCAGTCATTTTTATCATATGCTATTTTTGTCACATGTGCTAAAAATGACAACGATTCTGCTATTTTTGGGAGCGATCCAGTCTGCAAAACGTGGCAGGGTTCGACAAGATCTGGTTGGGGCAGACACATGCTGCGTTCGGATGGGCGGTTTCGTTTTTTCATCGGGGATCAGGTACTCTCTTTGCAGACGTCACCCGAGCTGCCATATCTATGTCTCACTTGCGCAACAATTGTCTTTTCATGGTTAAATATATAACAAAACATATCTAACCTGACCTTACCTTACCTACAACCTACAACCTACCAACCTACAACCTAACCTACCAACCTACAACCTAACCTACCAACCTACAACCTACCAACCTACCTAACTGGATATGGCAGCTCGGGTGATGTCTGCTAAGAGAATCCCAGGGAATATTCCTCAGACCGTTTGGGCAGGCTTCTACGGAGAGTGCGCAAAAACTGTAGCCACTAGGTATATCTCACTCTGCATTTTGGGTCCGCGCTACTTGGAGATACTCCTTAGTCCTTTCTAGCCTAACCAGTTACCAAACCAAATCAAATCAAACAAAACCAAACCAAACCAAACCAAACCTGACCTAAACAAACTCATAAATAAAGCTGGTCCTGTAGCTCAGTCGGTAGAGCGTTGGACTCCGCGAGGTGAGAGCTCGTGTCCCGGTATGACGGTCCGGGTTCGAAGCGCGACGGGCGCTCGATGTTTATGAGCCTCCTGGCGGGTATGGTTGCGGTTGGTGGCAGGCCGTAGCCAGGCGAAGTCAGTGAGGGGACCGGCCGTGCGCGGCTATGTGCGTAGTTAAACTTCTGACTCTAAATTCTGCCATGCACCAGGAATTGCACGATCGGAGGGTAGAGGGCAGAGCCATCGCAACGAGCTCTGCTTAGCGGTGGCTCTGTCCTTGAGAATCCTTCCATTCAAAAGGTTCGGACTAAATTTATAAAAAATAAATGTGCCTCCTTATAATCCTTATGATGGTTGCCGTCCGGCCAAATGATAACTATTACGTACCTAATAATTACCTAATACCTAATGATTACTTTGCTTTCTTTCAACATCAATTAATGACTATTTTGTTTTCTTCCAGGAGAGCCAGCGCCATTCCGGATCTGAAAATGCTCTGCATGTCAGCATTGTCTGGTGAGGATTACCAGCAACTGATAAGCACTTGGTAGTGCTGCCAATGTTTGCCATTGATAGTGTTTATATCATAGAGCTTTGCCTTTCACTGTCAATTGTTGATTTCTTTATTTGGGACACATTTCTATGCTTTGCCATCTGATCTTTTTGGCCCCCCTTTCAGACATACTATGCTACCCAGTAGGTACCCTTATGGAATGGTTATGTATCTTACCCAGTCACTAGTCAGTAAGGTCCTTTCCACATATCTGGAAGTAATCTAAATCCTTTCACTTCTGCACATGCAGGGGTCACCCTGTTGCTCACTTGTTTTACAGCCCTATCCTGATTTGCCATCTTTTTGGCCACCTTTCAGACATACTATGCTACCCAGTACCCTAATGAAAGTGTGGTCAAAAATATTGCAAATCAGGATAGGGCTGTAAACAAACGAGCGACAGGCTGACCCCTGCAGAGTCCTTGTTGGAAGCTGGAACTAACTGAACTCAATTAGTACAAGACATGGAAGACATCAAATAAATAACAAATGAGTATGAAATGTATTTCATTATCCATTGATATTTATTTAGACAACTTAATAAATGACGTTGAATGAAAGAATTATGACATTTCATACTCACTCGTTATTTATTTCGAGACCTTCACCTTTGACATCTTTGTTAAAGGGACCCTCCCACCTTAACATTAGATTTGAGTTGAGATAGCCAAAATGGGGTCCCTGGCTCACAATTACTGGTTTGAGCACTCACAACATCGAGAAATGCCTCAAATCGAAAATATCTAATTTCAAAGTTGCAGCACTTTGGATTCAGAGGGGCTAATGCATTTGATACCCCTCTGAATGTGTGACGTCAGCGCGCAGATCTAACGATTTTTAAATGTTTTGACTAAAACGTTTGATAGCATGCGGTGGTATATGCTGCTTTGCGCGCAGCAAGTGCCGCACTTTCAGCTGCCAAACTATTGCTTCCAAATAAAGTCGCTAGGAACAGCGGAGATCCCAAAAAGTAAACAAAAGTAAAAGTCTAATATCTTGAAAACCGGTGAATATTTTTCAGTGAAATTTGGTAGATATTCTTTTTCGCTTTTTCTGAACCGAGCGACATCACTGTCATGCCAATTTATTAACTTTTTTGAAGGTGGGAGGGTAATTTTGTGTACATTTGCAAATATGTTTTAATCCATTTTCCTCCTTTCACAGGGATTGCAATATCCTAATCAATCACTACCCTCTAATGACCAACGGGTATATGCTCAGCACATCATCATATCACCGTTCCACACACCATCACATTACAAACATCATCACGCACCAATTAGTATGCGTTTCTGCTCTGAAATGGGTACATTTCAATGCTGTTCACAACCATTAAATCACATGTTCAATCCACTCCTGTTCGTCTCCTCAGTCACCCGGAGACCTTGACCTACTCCTGGTCCTCTACGCCCGCCAGCGCCGCTTCGTCTGCGGTGCCGACCAGCGCCGCTTCGTCTGCGGCCCCCGCCAGCGCCGCTTCGTCTGCGGCCCCCGCCAGCGCCGCTTCGTCTGCGGTGCCGACCAGCGCCGCTTCGTCTGCGGCCCCCGCCAGCGCCGCTTCGTCTGCGGTCCCCGCCAGCGCCGCTTCGTCTGCGGTGCCGACCAGCGCCGCTTCGTCTGCGGTGCCGACCAGCGCCGCTTCGTCTGCGGCCCCCGCCAGCGCCGCTTCGTCTGCGGTCCCCGCCAGCGCCGCTTCGTCTGCGGTGCCGACCAGCGCCGCTTCGTCTGCGGTCCCCGCCAGCGCCGCTTCGTCTGCGGTGCCGACCAGCGCCCTTCTGCATGGTACCTCGCCTGATGTAGCCACGCAGGGCGGAGAGTGGAGGTGAGCTATTACTGATTAGTTTTGTCCAGGTAAATTCAGAAATATCATGTTCATGCCACATCATCAGAGTCGCCTCACCAATCAACATAATATTTTCAGGGATGAGGGTCCAGGGGACCCATTTGTATTTGTTCTCACTTCTCACCTTGTTTCTTTGTTGAATCTGTATCCCTTAGTCTCTTTACAAACCAAACTATGTACTTTTTCATGGATAGAATTGCTATATGCCATGGGATGTACAAAAATGCAACTTTGTGCCTAGCTCTAGGCTAATAAGAAGTGTATTTCATTAAAATATCATGTTTTGTTTGTATGTTGAATGGTTTGCATATGAAGATAATTTCCAGCGGCTGCTAATATGTTATGCAGCCCTCTCCTTTAAGTGACCATCCCACCTTAGCATTAGTTTTCAGTTGAGATAGCAAGATTGGGGTCCCTGGCGTGCAATTACCGGTTTGGGTACTCACAACATCGAAAAATGCTTCAAATCGAAAATATTTGATCTCAAAGTTGCAGCACTTGGATTCAGAAGGGCTAATGTTTTTGAATGTCCCCCTCTGAATGTGTGACGTCAGCGCAGATCTGACGATTTTAACCCGCGCCGTGCTGGTGGCCTGAACTTTCCGCCGAGTGCTGGGGGGGGGGGGGGGCGTTTTCACGCCCCCCCGTCTAACTCGGCTCCTGGGCCACGTAGCGACACGCGGTAAGCGGCAATCGAAAGAGTGTCAAAAATAAGGACGAAAACACTTCGGTCATTTTTTGGGTCAGGTCAAAGGTCAGGTCACCAGAGGTCACCAAAGGTAAAATGTTGACTATTTCAACATTTTGGAAACTGCCAACGGCTATCTCGGGAACCGATAGAGCTACAGCGCCGCGGAAAAGCGCATTCGATAGCCCTTTTACAGACCTTTCTGAGTAATGTTCTCAGATTTGACCTCAGGTCAACGGTTTAGCCTCCAGAGGGCAAAAACTCCAAATATAGCCGTTTTTACGAAAAACGTTTTTTCGTCAATAACTTTTGACTCATAAGCGCCATTACATTACTTTTGCCAGCATCGTGTTCCTCTCGTCGAGACGCGTCGAATGAACTATTTGTTGACCTTGAAAGGTCATTTTGAAAATTTGACCTCAGGTCAAGGTCATGACCTGACCGAAAAGGGTCATGTTGCATATCAGTCGATCCGTATCGTCGAGCTGAACACATCTGACGTGTTTTCACCGCTCTAGCACGTCTCTATCAAAAGTTATAGCCAAAAAACTGCTGGCGACCGTTCATGACCTGAGATGACCTCAGGGGCACACAGAGGGGTCACAGGTGCATTTTTCCTATTCAGTGTGTCATGTTTACCTATGAACCGATGTTTGAGAGCGTTTTGAACGATATTCGTCCAAAAGAGGCGCATTTCAATTTTCTCCCATTGACTTATAATGGAGAGGTCGCAAAATTGACCTGACCTTAGGTCACAGATATCAAAAATCCGAGATATACATTTTATACATACTGTTACTCATATCAATCGCTGAAAGTTTCAAAGTGCTCGTTCAGTCGGTGTAGCTATAGCGAGCCTTTGAACTTTTTCTGAGGTAAGGTCACTTGACGTGACCTGGTGACCTGACCTTGAACGGCCTAGGTCTGAAATTTTCACAACATGTGCGGAAATGATGTAGGAACACGTGTACCAAAAACGGCGGCGCTGCGCGCCGCCGTTTTTGAGATATTCGCGAAAAACCTGAGGGGGGGGGGGGCGTAAAAACGCCCCCCCCCAGCACGGCGCGGGTTAAAATATTTTACTAAAACGTTTGGTAACACCTGGTGATATATGCTGCATTGCGCGCAACATCTGCCGCACTTTAAGCATGCCAAATTAGGTATTGCTTCCAAATGACGTCGTAGGAACAGCGGAGGTCCCAAAAAGTAAAAAGTAATACAGCAGCTGGTCACAGCTGGACCAGTGGCGTGTGTTACATACACGCGCTTAGACAATGTGTACACCCTTCCTAAATCTGGTTGGTTTCTTTTCAGGGGATTGTGTTTATGTATCGGTCATCATGCATCAGCAGTGTGCGTCCATCTTGTGCTCCACTGACCTAGGCGCAGTTCCATGCTGTTCATTGCCATGCAGTCCCATGTTCAATCCACTCCTGTTCGTCTCCTCAGTCACCCGGAGACCTTGGCCTACTCCTGGTCCTCTACGCCCGCCAGCGCCTCTTCGTCTGCGGCCCCCGCCAGCGCCGCTTCGTCTGCGGTCCCCGCCAGCGCCGCTTTGTCTGCGGTGCCGACCAGCGCCCTTCTGCATGGCACCTCGCCTGATGTAGCCACGCAGGGCGGAGAGTCACGGAGGTGAGCTATTACTGATTAGTTTTGTCCAGGTAAATTTAGAGTAATCATACACTCACTTTCTGTCTTTTTGTTATTTTTGTCATTGTGTGTCAGACAACTTCACCGATAACACTGATACAATTATTTTTAGGGAACCTGCTTCTTGTGTTCTCAACTTGTTTCTTTGTTGAATCATTTCTCCATCATTATCTTTCTGGACCCATTTATATGATTTTTTTCTGAAACTGGATTGCTCTATTCCATTGAGTGTACCTATTGCAATGCAACTTTGTGCCTACATAACTCAGCTGTAGGGTGATACTTGTGCAGTTCATTATCTGGATGTCATGTGCCGTTTGTATTAATTGTCTGCAGGTGATGAAAGTATCTTCCAGCGGCCAGTTTATTAGATGCGACGAGTCTCTCTCTCTCTCTCTCTCTCTCTCTCTCTCTCTCTCTCTCTCTCTCTCTCTCTCTCTCTCTCTCTCTCTCTCTCTCTCTCTCTCTCTCTCTCTCTCTTTCTCTCTCTCTCTTTCTCTCTCTTTCTCTCTCTTTCTCTCTCTTTCTCTCTCTTTCTCTCTCTTTCTCTCTCTCTCTCTCTCTTTCTCTCTCTCTCTCTCTCTCTCTCTCTCTCTCTCTCTCTCTCTCTCTCTCTCTCTCTCTCTCTCTCTCTCTCTCTCTCTCTGTCAGTCTCTCTCTCTCTCTCTCTCTCTCTCTCTCTCTCTCTCTCTCTCTCTCTCTCTCTCTCTCTCTCTCTCTCTCTCTCGGAGGGTCGATCGGAGGGTCGACTCGCCGGACAGCCCGGATGAATTCTATCACCAACGTCGCCGGTCCGCCGAGGACGTCCCCCAGGCTCGGGTCGAGTCCCCAGCGGCGGCGTCGCGCAGCTTCATAGGCCGGACAGTCGGTCAACAGGTGGGCCGCGCTGTCCGGCTCGCCGCACGCAGGGCAGGCCGCGTTCACCGCCAAGCCTAGGCGGTGGGCGACGTCCCGCGTGAGCGGCGACGCGCCCGTCCGCAGCTGGGAGAGGGTACACGCCTCCCAGCGGGACAGATCGTTGTGGCCCGGTGTGGGCGCCGGGTGGGGGTGGGACGCTCCTGTTCTCGCGTCGACCATCGTCCCCACCCGACGCCCGATCGCGCTTCTGGCGCTGGCGAAGTCGATTGGGACGTCCGGCTGTTCCGCAGCGGCCGCTTCTCCTCCCCCTCCCTCCCTCCCTCCCTCCCTCCCTCCCCTCCCCTCCAGTGGATTTGTAGCTCGCGGCCTGTGTCTGAGACTCTGACAGCTTTTTGGTCTGAGACTCTAACAGCTTACGCACTAAGACAATGTGTAAACTTTTCAAAATATCTGGTTGGTTTCTTTTCAGGGCATTGTGTTTATGTATCGGTCATCATGCATCAGCAGTATGCGTCCGTCTTGTGCTTTACTGACCTTGGCGCAGTTCCATGCTGTTCATTGCCATGCAGTCCCATGTTCAATCCACTCCTGTTCGTCTCCTCAGTCACCCGGAGACCTTGGCCTACTCCTGGTCCTCTACGCCCGCGGCGCCCGCCAGGGCCGCTCCGTCCGAGGCGCCCACCAGGGCCGCTCCGTCCGAGGCGCCCGCCAGCGTCTCTACGCCCGCCAGGGCCGCTCCGTCCGAGGCGCCCGCCAGCGTCTCTACGTGCGGCACGCCGTCCGTTGCCGCAGAGTGCGGGGACCTGAATGTCGCAACTCCGATCCGACCACATAGGTTAGTTGTAAAGCGATGTGAATAAGGTTCATTTTTTCAGCATTTATGTGTATTTTATAGTATATCTATTAAGTACGCACGGTATTAAGTGAATTCGGTACGTACCATGCGATCACATTTCCTCTCTTGGCTTGGTTTAACTTCTTTGTCAGAATGTGGATACTGCTTTTAGCGCAACCAAATGACAGTCGGATTACCGTTAAGTACATGGCGTCGAAATGGCTTTATTTACCATTTGCGTTTGCAATATCATTGAAATGCACTTAACTCTTGTCTTTTATAGGCGTGTTCCGAGGCGAGGCCTTGGACTGTCTGGGACTACCTCAACCACGGCAACTGCTGCCTGCCGCACTACGTCTGCGACGTAAGTTTAAACCATATGCACCAACTTTTTACACCAATTTTTACCTCATATGTACCATATGACCAAATGGTACTGTTAAGACGTACCAGACTGTGCGCGCCGGAATTTTCGTGCCCTTGTCGAAGTGAAAGGCTTTGTCATCTTGCATTTATTTTGCTTTTGCCAACTGCCAGCCGTTGTGATTGATCCCTCTTATCTTTTTCGCCGCCAGGTCCAACGCCAGTGGTCACACGCCGTCTTCTCGGCGGCCCGGATATGATCGGTAAGTTCACTGTGCATATCGGCTTAGCCATCTTTCATAAGCTAAGGATAAGATATTCGGGTAATTCTTGGACACCGTGCAGATCTGCACTTGTGTCATACTGTTCTGTGAAATAACAAATGTACAGAAATGGTAACAATCGAAAGCTCTTTGGATTTAAATCTGCTTTCGATATCGACCATTTCTACTGCACAGCAACACACCTTTACCACCTACGATTATTTTCACAGGCCGCCGTCCGTGAGGACGCCTCTCCACTGCCGCCTGTGGAAGGGGGATCTCACCATCAGCCAGCGGCGCTGCGCCTCACTGAAGGCAGAGAAGCGCGAGCTGACGGCCGAACTGCGCCGCGAGCGTCGGCGACACCGCGCCGAGGAGCGCCGCTGGAGGGCCGAAGAGAAGCGGCTGCGCACACAGCTAAGCGACGCGGAGGACGCCGTCACCCAGCTGAAGAGCGCGCTTGGTGGGATTTTCTCCGACCGCCAGCTCACCACCCTGCGGACCGGGCGGCGCGTGAACTGGGAGCAGCAGGACATCGTCCGCGCGCTGGTGATCCGCTGCTGCTCGAGGAAGTGCTACCAGCTCCTCAAGGACAAGTTCCAGTTCCCGCTGCCCGGACTCTCCACCCTCCGCCGCTGGACTCGAGGCTTCCGGACGTCACCGGGGATCCTGGACATGGCTCTGCAGATCATGCGCTCGTCCGCAGACACCATGACGTCGCATGAGAGGCTGCTCGTCATGTCCTTCGACGAGATCACCATCGATCCCCGCGTGGCGTACGACTCCACGGACGACGCGGTCTACGGCCCCAACGACAAGATGCAGGTGGTGATGGTCCGCTCCTTGTGCAGTCGTTGGAAGCAGCCCGTCTTCTTCGACTACAACAAGGACGTCACCAAGGACCTTCTCCACCGCATCATCGCCGCCGTGGAGTCTGCCGGCTACGTGGTCGTCGCCATGGTGTGCGACCTGGGGCCGGCCAACCGGAAGCTGCTGTGGTCGCCGAAGGCCGCTGACGGACTGGGCATCGACCCGGAGGACGGGTTCTTTGCCCATCCGTGCGACCCCAGCCGGTAAGTCAACTTTTCTAACTTTCTTATTCATCGGTTTTTAACTTCGGACACTAATTTCTAGGGAGACCATAAATAAGAGCTTATATTTCGATGTTGTGTAGCAAGTTTATGTAGCCACAGCAACTCTTCATTCATGTTGCATTGAAACCAAATATGTCATGTATGTCATGCCGCTGGCAACGATTGTCTTGATGGCCTTGGTACCGGCATTCAGCCTTTCGAAAACCACTAAAATTGTAGCTTAATTTCCGTGTAAATGCTAGCTGACGGCAACTTCGTTCCGTTTCACTCTGCAGAAAAATCTTCACCTTCGCGGACGTGCCACACCTCCTAAAGCTTCTCCGCAATCACATTCTCCGGCAAGGCCTCCAGCTGCCAGGCGGCCCTGTCATCGACAAGAAGGTCTTTTGCAACCTTCTGGAGAAAGATAACTCTGAGTTTCGGCTATGCCACTTTCTGAAGTGGAAGCACATCACGGTGAGCAAGTTATCAATGTTAATTACCATAACCAGCAGCATTATGAATGATATGTGCCATCAACTTGGATGATTAATTCCGTGACGCTGAAAAGCAATGTCTTTTTACATTTGATGCAAAGCTGTGATAGTGTAGCACATTATAGTGTGTGTTAACTGTAGTCAAAAATTTATCTCGTCATTGGAAACAAGTTAAAAATTTACGAAATTTGACCCTTCAGTGAGCCTGAATGTTGACCAACAAAAAGTCAACCAACGTCATTATTTATTACTCCTTTGGTTCCCCGTGTGTCGCAGGTGCGGGGTCAGGAATGCCAGCGCGTGTACCTGGCCGCCCAGCTCCTCAGTGAGCGCGTGGCCAAGGCGGTCTCGCACATCTTCGGTGACCGGTACCGGAAGGAGGCGGAGTTCATCGCCCTCGTCGACCAAGCCTTCGACACGTTCAACTCCCGCCACGTGTCGGACGGCAAACTACACCGGTCGGCGTTTGGGCTGGCCCATACCATCGAGGACCAGTACTCCTGCCTCCTCAAGTTCACGAAGGTGATGCGAGACGCGCGCGTGGTCGGCAGCAACTCGATGCTGCCCTTTCAGAAGGGCTTCGTGATGTCCTCCACCGCTCTGCGCGGCCTGTACAGCGCTGTGCAGCGGCATCACGGGCTCAGCTACCTACTGACCTCCCGGCTCAATCAGGACTGCGTCGAAAACTTCTTCTCGCAGGTAAGCATTCTAACATCAGTCACACATTTTGATGCAACTCAAATAAAACACGGGCGATTCTTTTCTTTCTTTCTTTCTTTCTTTTTTTATGCAGGTAAACATTAAGAGCAATATGCACATAGACTATCACGCAAAGCCCTTTGTCCTGGTATTGTATCTAGCCTTGAAATTTATTTTAATTTGATTGTTTTAATACGTCTCGCCCGAATGTGTAGCTTACTACATATCTGGGTTGTGTATATAAGTACTTTGACGGCATTTTTTCTATCCTTAAACAATAAACATTCATGGTTTACTCGTAATGAAGACATTGGTCTTTTTTATATATATTAAGTGTTACCCACTCACACTCACCTCTTTTGTGTTATAATAGACTTTAATTACCTCACTCTGATAAACTATGTTTTGTTTCACTTCTTTGATTTCACTGGGTGACCCGGTAATGGTAAAAAAACAATAAATATTAGACCTGTTGTCACAGTGGTTAAGTTATACCCCGCACCTTTAATGCCCACCTAATCGAGTCTTTTTTTAGGTATTTTACCAACCACTGTTTCTATTTCAGTTGAGAGGCATGGGTGCGGCGAACACCAACCCCACGGCAGTGGAGGCCAAGAACCGCCTCCGCCTGCTCCTCATAGGAGCTGCGCCGACAGTGGCCGCCGCAACCCACGATGACCCGCGCGAGTCCGGGGCCTCAGTACTGCTGGAGGAGAAGGAGCCGACTTACCTGAGCGCCACGACGCTGGACCTGGACCACGAGCCGCCAGTGGAGCCAGAGGTGCCGGACGCGGACGTCACCGCGGTGGAGAACCTGGTGACCGCCCGCCAGCCGTGTCCGGGACCCGCAGCCAGCGCCGGCGCCGCCCCGCCACCTGCAAGCCT